AATTATCTTCAAAGTGATGTAGTCGAATTCAATCCTATTTTTATAGAACAAAGGAAAAAAATTATTATATCACATAACGAGATTGGTATGAATAATGACTTAATTGTAATTCGATTGGTTTCTATGTCAACCATCGGAGGTCCTGGGTTTGATCCACAGTGGTGTAATCATGGATATCCACTTCTCAATCTTATACTAGGATATAACAGCTATCCTCTCAGTTCTCATAGTTTTTTTCGGTAGTAGTCTGTCTAAAACCAGGCAACATTGTGAAAGTCACTGTATGGCTACTGATCTAAACATCTTATTTTATAATCAATTTTATTTAAGATAAAGATTATGCATTCTTATGTTGCTCAATGATCTCATTAGTCATTAGTAGATTTTGTATGGTGTATTAATGCAAATTAGGATTAGTCACTAAATTAGATACTATTTCTGCTCAATTAACTAACTGAACAGTTTAGTTAACAGTAAAACGCCGTTCATGTTAGCGCTTACCACCAAATAAAATCTATAACTTCAAAAGAACCTCTTATTTTACATCATATTTGCCTTTTTAAACAAACCTGGATGCTCTAATGAAAATGATATTTGTAGAATAAAAGAAAATTATGTTTTATTCACTTGGTGTTGTTTTACTTGTATCTTCCCATTGTTATTTAGGACTGCACTTGATCAGTTTCTTGTTGGCATATGCGCATCCTGTGCGGATTGCATCGATATAGTCTTAAGTCATAAGCTTTTTAAGCAGAGATGGATAGTGGCTAATAGTGGAATCCAGTTTGACGCGCGTTTCGTCCTATTTGGGACTCGTCATATGGATGTACCTGCATCTGAGTTGATGTTCACTTCAGGACTCGAACCCACTACTATTCGCTTCAAACGCCATCGCCACTTAGCTACTGAGCCCTGATTATTATTTATTTCTTTGAATTCTCACATACATATGATATAGTAAGACAATGTTCTTAACAAATACAATCTAATCACTGTTAATTATAGTGTACATTAACTAAATATTGAAATATACTTGAAGTGAACGAACAGTTAGGTGAGGGCAATTAATTTATTGTTTAATACAAAATTACAGAATGTCTTCGTAAAATATGAGAACCATACATTAAATACTTCATTTGCAAATCTTTCATCAACCGTGCTTCACATTCTATATGATTCTTCCGATTCATAATTCTTTTCTATTCCCTTTTCTGTTTTCCTCAGCTCAATAGTCTTAGCCTTCTGTCAGGTTTTCCATCTCTGACAGGTGTTACATATTACTTACGTCTGTACACATAAGTAACATACGGCGCGTACTCAAAGACGATATTAAGATCTTCCTGAAATAAAAAATAACTTGAGCATTTAATTTATATAGTGAGAACATCGAATATTAATGTAGATTCGATATGGTTATAATATATATATATATATATATATATATATATATAGTGTTACTTGTAGTGTACTAAATAGTGAGGATTTAAGTAATCAGTGCAGATGCTTTGATAGACTTGTCTAAACTATCTGCAATACAATAACTTAAATACCGTTGAAAAATTTCGTCACAAATTTCAATACAGTCGCCATATTTAAGACCACATAAAGGCTTCCAAAGAAATATACTTGGTACGATTTTTTGAATTAACAAACTTGGCCAAAGCGTGAACAACAAACGTAGCAGAATTAACATGTATTCAATTTATTTCGTAGATTTTCTTCAGCTTCTGACAACCCAAAACATAATGGTATTCATCATTTGAAAACACTGTATATACTTTATATCAAAATACTACTGAATTTCTCACCAATGAAGACTAGTAAAAAGAACAAGAAGTGAGAACTATAAGTATAGAATTATAAGATGTTTTACAATTATATATGGATGGATTTCTCTATTGAACATCCTCCTATGGTGTGTGCTACTGATGTCGACAGATATAAGTAGTATGTATCATCAATTTAGAGTGAAATGCATGGCAGCAGAATGTTGAGAAGATTGAAGAAAAGAGAACGAGAATAGAGGGTGTTTGATATGGATATGAAGTAACAATGAAGTCTGAGACGATTGACTGATATTTTGCAAATGAAGTATTTACTGTATGGTTCTCAGATTTGACTAAGTGATTCTGTAATTTTTTGTCCAAATACATTTGGTTATCCCCACTGGTGTTGTCGTTCACTACACTCCGGCTATAAGATAGAAGAACTGACATTCAAACTCAAGATATTCATTGTTTAAATTTTTCAAAATGTAGGTAATTTTTAATTCCTTTCTTTTCAGATTGTAAATTTCTCCATCATATTACGTAATGAAACAGGTCAAGAATCGAGCTCAATATAGCCCTATTAATGAGTGGATAACCTATATTTGCCAGATTTTCTAATCATTTTCATGTTATGTTTAACATCTACATAAGTGTGTTACTCTATTAGGAGAAAAAACCTATTCTACTAGATAATATTCTTATCTTTTGTGTCAAATCAACTGCAATGTTTACATTATAACCATCGGATCTAATGAGTAGCCATTATTCAGACATTTCTTACTATTACATAACATCTATTGATTAGCTTTAAATTCATTCATTAAACAATCTGTGAACCTGTTCATAAAATTCACACCATAGCATTAACATTAATCTTAATTTCTAAAAAAGAATGAAAAACTGTCCAATTTAGAAACATGATTTCATTGCATAACAATAAATTACTTCCTCATTAAATAGCAAGGAATGTTGTAACTAACGAAAAAAACATGGAAATTGTTTGGTTTTTTTTGCTGTTCAAATAATTAATGCATTTTTTGCACTAAAACATACTTGAAAATGAAGTTGGACACAGGTATTTGCAAGTGAGTAAATTCTTGTGTTAGTTGTTTGAATCTTCTCATTAATTTTTAGGACTGCAATCAATCAGCCTCTTATTGGTATATGTATATCCTGTACAGATTGCCTAATTATGGTCTTAAGTCACAGGCATTACAAGTGGTAGCTAAGTGAATAAGGTTATGACATTTAAGGTGAACGGCACTTGGTTTGAGTCCTGAAAAGAACATCAACTTTGGGATGCAAGTACATTCAGTTGAAGAGTCCCAAATAGAACGAAACGCGTATCCTAAATTCCACTGCTAGCAACCATCCATCTCTGCTTAGATTGTAAATAAGGGAACATTTTTTTCGATGAAAAATAAACAACTTTATCTCTTTTTGTTAATGTAACTATTTCAACATTTTGTTAGTTAGAACTATTAAATATACATAAATTATATTGTACGCTTGTGTACTATGAATTATTTGATATTTCTAACAGTAAGTTTGTAATATCATAGCGTAAATTCACTCTACTTGACTATAAGCAAATTATACACATGAAATATATGTTTACCTTCAGGTTGATATAGTAAACATTATAAATAGTATAAATACAGAGTATTCAGAAGAAAATTTGAAACAAAAAAAGGATTTTGTGGATATTGTAGTAGTTTAATAGTTGGATTCATGAGTCGATGTAAGCTAGACTACCATTGAAAATCTGGAAGATAATGGTGGACGGTGGTCTAATTTCCTAGATTGGTTGTAGTCAGACATTAACACCGTTAGATACCGGCTTAGTGGTCTACAGGTTAAGCGTTCGCGTGTGAGACTGATGATCCTGTAAGTCAAGTCCCGCGAGCGGGACTCGTAACTGAACTTCTCAAATGGAAATAAATTTAACTATATACTTCAAGAACTAGCCTAATAATATATACGAAGTTGGAAGGTCGTTTATACTTGGAGTCAGGGAAAATTCTTTCTGAACTATATAATAGAAAATCAATTAGTATTACCACTTGATGTTCTTATAAGTTGTAATGAAATACACTTCAGTTATCATTGGTATTCAACCATCTTTGGATGAGTGCAAAGTTGATCGTCGATTTAATCTTTAGAATAGTATTCGTTTTTAAAAAAAATAGAATCACATTAACACGACTGTTCAAAAATGTCATATGATTATAATCCGTCAAGCTTCAAAGTGTTTTTTAATGTATTGATCAAAGTAACAGTTATCTGATTCATCATAGTTCATTACTTCTTAAAACCCTACATATGAGACGTTGCATAGAATTTATGATGCGTAACTGACCACTCAGCCATTTATTCTGAGTAGAATGAACTACACTATTTAGCTTTAATCAATTTATAATATGTCACAAACTTAATACAATATTGTCCATGGTGATCAGTCTTTACTTCAGATACCATAAACCTATTTTTTATCAGTATCCTACTTAGATCTCAAGACAACTATTTGTATACAGGTTACTGATGTATAGTGAATTACTATTTACGTACTTGTTGTGAACAGAAAAACAAGAAGCCCCGACAAACTACGAAAGCTATTTTTCGGGACGTTATTCCATTTTATTCAAAGCTTGTAATATACTGACATTTATTTTTTGTCCCTAATCTATTCTACAAAACATAAGCTTTCGTTCAATGTGTGATTCACTGCCATACCCTTTTTTGTTCCGAAGCTATTGTAATTTAAACATAATATTTTGCACCCTATTTTCTACTCTAATTCCCAGCTTTGGACGTAATTGTATTTTTCCAAATTATTGTACGTTGTGGTCGGGATATTCACTTATTTATTCATGTACCTTTTTACACTGAACTGAATGAAATCAGGATATCAGGAATAGATCGAGTAGTGTTCCAGTTGTCTTGTCTTCTCTCATTCGCGTGCTTGCCAGCCAATCAGGTGATAGAATAGTTTTCTCTCTACCCCGGTTCGAACTCACGCGTACTAGCCTCAAGGTTAGATCGGTTAGCTTATCGCCCAAGGTCTTAATCTGAATTAGACAGTAACCTCAGCACCAAGAGTGAGTAGATAGACCAAAGTACATAACAGTACTTATGAAGCTCTTTCATTTAAATCTGTAATGCTTCGGTTATTTACCTATAGCATATCCATCTTTTATACTGGTAAGCAATCATAAATGAAGAGATATATACTTTATTCTACAAATATTTATTCTATGAAATAGAAGACATCTTAACCAATGTAAAATAAATCAAAAATATCTGACAAATTCAGTTGTGTTCTTTTTTTCCCATCCTAAAATGATAATGTAACAATACTTTTCGTATGAAATCAAGAGGTTTCATTTAGTTGTTTCTATCTATTCTATTCTGTAGTTGAATGAAAACGTTCATTGATTTCCCTTAGGCTATTTAATTAAGACTATATAACTATTAGTTTAGTAATGATTATTATTTACAATATATACTGTAGTGTATGCTACTTATGTTTATGGATATAAGTAGTATGCAAAACCAGTCAAAATTAGAAAACCTGATAGTAGAAAGTTGATAAAAATTGCAATGAAAAGAAGGGAGAAGGAAACTAAAAAGCAACCGTCATAACAACAGAAATGAAAGAACAATAAGTCTTGTAACAGATCATTCAAAGATGTATGATTTCGCATTTTGGAAATGAATTGGTCTTCTTCACCTTGAATATTCGTTCATTATAACACTACCGTCAGTTTTGATTATGTAAAGTCAATATTTAATATTATGCAATTATTGTTTTTTCATCATGCCATACATGACATTTATCAAAAGACCATGTAATAATTAAGCATAAACTCGAGACAAATAATAATGTTAATGGCCAAAATAATGTATCAAACATTGTTGATGGTCCATAGAATTTATGTAATAAAGCTTCATTAATATGATCTTCATGTACATAACATGTAAATTGTACAGTATTTTTAATTAATTGACAAAAATTTTGTACCCATTCATGGTTTGCTGAATTCTGACGATGACATGAACTGGTAGCACACTAATAATGAAGAGGAGAAAAAGAAAAAAAAGTACAAAAACTTTATTAGACGGAATACATCCATTAAGACATTAAGTAAGAAAGATTAGTTCAGTGAAGAGTTCTCTTTTCGGTGAATTCATTTCCAAAGTTGTACAATCACAAATATACATTATACTTATTTTTACAGGATGATAATAATACTGATAATAAACTTCTGTTAGACATGGTGACAATGAGGTTAAATAAACGAAGGTACTAAAAAATTTTTTTATAAAGCAAGCAAAGTTTAATACTCGTTTGATTATTAATGGCTTACGTATTCACCAAAAGATAGATAGAGAAGTTATCATTAGGAAAGGATGGCTCATCATGAGAAGATAAAATGTTGAAGTTGAGATTAAATGTAATCAGAATGATCGTGGAAACAAAAATAAACCAGTTGGGGGAAGAGGATTTTAAGGGGAAGATAGAAGGTGAAGCAGATGGCTGTAAAGGAAAAAGAGAAAAAATTATAAGACATTCAGACCATGGTAGAAGAAGAGGTTGTACCAGTCTCACATGCATACACAATTCTGATTTTTCCAGATGTATGGCTAACGCTAAGAACATGCAGTCTAATTGTCTTCGGAAGACTTGTACTTACCATGTAGATGACTTTGAACGCAGATTCTGTCTTGATTGAGTGACCTGTGTTCACAAGGTGTTCGATTGTTGAACTTCTTATTGAGCCGTTCGTGATGAATACCTAAGCCATTAATAATCAAACGAGTATTAAACTTTGCTTGCTTTATAAAAAAATTTTTTAGTACCTTCGTTTATTTAACCTCATTGTCACCATGTCTAACAGAAGTTTATTATCAGTATTATTATCATCCTGTAAAAATAAGTATAATGTATATTTGTGATTGTACAACTTTGGAAATGAATTCACCGAAAAGAGAACTCTTCACTGAACTAATCTTCCTTATTTAAAAACTTTATTTCTTTATATTTTAATATTTTTCTATCAGAAATTGTTGGATAATATAATGAGAAAGCTGGAATTATCTAGTATTGCTATGCACTTCGAAGCGATCCAATGACACATTTACTTGTTATTGTGATTATTTATTTTAAAAAACAGGTCAACTAAACAAATCGCATATAAAAGAGGTTAAGCGCTAGCACGCGAGACTGATAGGTCCTGGGGTTTGAATCCCGCTGGGTGGAATCTTGAATGGGCACTGCTGAGGAGTCCCATACTGGGACGAAACAGTCGTCCACTAATTTCAGATTTTCCGTGGTGGTCTAGCTTTAATCGACTCATGAATTCAACTATTAAATTACTACAATCTTCACAAAACCCCTTTCTGATAATATAAAAGATTAAGGAAAATATTGATGTAAACAATTTGAATCAGATCACTCTACATAATAAATCAATGTTATCAGGATAGATTTAGTGTAAGTGCAAACTGTTTTTGAACATATAAGGGAGGTTGGAACTTATTTATGACCAATGCTTTATAAAACTTCAGTATTTTCCGTAGACACCTTCCGTATAAAACAATAAAGGCCAAGTAAAAAAATTAATCTCATGAGCTGTTTCATGTAATTCTAATAATCTCCATCTTCTCAGTGTGTTATATGAGTTTATCAAAGAGATAAATTGTCTTAGATTACGAATTTTTAATAAACCGACTCAGCATTAGTAAAGAGTAATCATGTATTATCTTCAATCTTTGTTACATATATCTAACTGTAGAACAGTTCATTATAAACTTATTCATTTTCTTTAGTTACTCGATACCATTGTGTACTTTATCTAGCTTTAAGTAGTTAGGAACAATTGACTGGAAACTCTGAACCTAAGTTGTAAGATAGAAAGCACTCATCGCCCAAGATATATTTGTAATATTGAAGAAATTGTTGTTTTGTATAGTATTCAAACCTGTGTTACCTAATATATACGGTAAGAGAAATGATTACTCACCTATTCATAGCATAATTCATTTAGCATATAACGTTAACAACGAATATACTTTTTAAGAAGATAAAGTGAGATTATTATAAGGTTTCAATCAGTGATGATTACAAGTGTTAGTTTTGTTTTCGCTTATTCAGTCAGCAATAACGTAGAACTTCGTACGTACGTACGTCAGTTCGAGTTGCCATACCATATTACAACAGAGATGCAGTTGTCGATTCAAATCCCATAGTGGTAGAGGTAGTAAGAGTATAAGCAGTAGGAGGAAAGATTAGAATTTGAAGATGTTATTCAAGGAGTATAATTCAGTAAAATAAATTCGGAAAGAGAAAAAAAGGAAAGGACATGAAGAATTCAGAAGATTAGAATTTAGGAAAACACAAAGAGTGGATTCACTTGCTCCATTACAAACGATTTTCAGCCATGTCATTCAAGGTCTCTTACCATCGGTTGATATCATCTCGTGGATTGCAATCAGGTAGTCTACACCTACCAACGTGGCTCAGTCCACTTGTCAGTGACTTCATGAATTTGTGCCATGTTTTGGTCAGGCCGCCCCTGGCTTTCTTCCAACCTATTCCTACACCATGAAACATCGCTCGTCAGGGTAGTCGGTGGTTGGGCATACGTAACATGTGTCCCAGCCATCTCAAATGATGAAGTTTCACTACTTCTACAATTAATTTTCGCTTAAATTAACGATTACTATTTAATAATAAAAATATAACCGATTTTACCAAATATTCATATTCATTGTTTTAAATAGTAGTGAATATAATCTTTATCATCTTCAAAAAATACCCCCTAGATATTAAACCTGATCAGATTTACATACAAACTTCATAAGTTATGTATGAAAAAATTTTAGAAGAAAATACAAAACAGAAGGTTTCTAAATACATTTTTTTTGAAAATCACTTTGCAGTATATAAAATTTGTCTGTAAAGAAGTTCGGTGGAAAATTTAAATATTATTAATACCATGAACCGATCTATGTTAGGCAACCAGTGAAAACCAGGATGAAATGGAAAGATAATTGTTTCATCTTAGTATGGGACTTATTATCAACTAATATCCATGAACTCACCATCAGGAATCAGATCTGTAACCCTCAGTATTGCACACAAAAGCCTAACCAACTTAAAAACATGGCCGAAATCCAATATTCTAAAGATCAAGTGTTCGAATGCAAAATCCGATGATCAAGAGTTCAGTCTTTAGAAGTGAGAACGTGAATATACACTGTTCAAGAGTCCTATAATAGAAAAAAACAACTGTCTTTCTAGGGATCACTAGCTTTCCATGGTTTTCTATCTTAGGTCTTTTCATGATCTCAATTAATTTAATTAATGGTTACACCGGAAAATGTGGTCAATCTACTAACATGGGTCATTGAAAACAATTAGTGCATGATTCCTAATTGTGTTATTTTAAATAAGGTGTGTGTACATGCTATCCAATGTTATAAGTAATACAAACTGGTCTTTTGCTAATTCCTTTTGAGTCTAATTTTAAAAATTTCAATGATTTACCAGTTTAACATTATTATGTATATATAATTACTACAATCTTCATTTAATAATAAATTCTCTGCTCAACTTAACGTCACAAATTTGATAATAAGATAGTCTAAGATTTCTGGTAAGAATAATAAATAATTGTAAGGTTTTTACCTTATAACTCTCATGAAATTCGAATCCCGCGAGAGGGATCATGGATGCGCACTGCTGACGAGTCTCATACTGGGACGAAACAGTCGTCCAATAATTTCAGATTTTCCGTAATGGTCTAGCTTTTGATTGACTCATGAATTCAACTATTAAATTACTACAATCTCCACAAAACCCCTTTTTGATAAACACAAAACTGTTTATATGTATATGTATTTATGTATATTATGAACTTGTAATCATCTCATCATACTTACTTATTGAAATTGTAACAAATCTGTTTTAATAAAAGTTATTATAGAATATGTTACTCTATCCAAACTTTTGCTACACTTCAATAAAAATAATATTTGAATATAGAATTTATGGGGATTGTTGAACAATTAAGTTAAATCAATTATTGTACGTTTAATCATTATCTGAGATTGTATCTTTTGAACAGAAACAAGTTCACCAATACGGAAATACATGAGAGTTAGGTAGTTAGAGGTAATCAACATAAATCTCTGCCTGATCTTGATTTCGTGCTACTTAGCATTTGTTAATAAGGTGTACCCGTGGTCTTAAAGGAATTAATGATCCCTATTGGATCTAATCAGAGTTAGTCAACTCCATAATTTGAGGTGTCGTCAATAAACTGGGTGACACAGGATTGAATCCCACGTGGAGTATCAATTACCTCATGGTTATATGTACGTTTTTGACAAGTGTTAAATAACATGAAACCTAGGTTGAGGATAGTTTCTTGTCGACTAGTTCCAAAAGCCTAGTAAATAAACATAATTCATGCGGTAACATGTCACTTTGACTACTGGCCACAATTCAACTTCATAGATAGGATTTGATCCGTATTAGAGGACTAAATAAACATGATTTCAGTCACTATTCACTGAACGACCAATTGTAAGTAAACTAGTTGTAGGTTATACATAAATCATCATAAAATTATTCATGACATGCCACGAAGAAAATTTTTTATTCAATGAAGGTACACAAAAATCATCATTTCTGTCAGAAACAAACTCTCAGATGCATAATTTATCTAAATTTTTCTAGTCAAATTCTGATATAAATATTTGCAAGCATACGTGATAGTCTTTACTTTTTTACCAAGAATAATTGATGTAGCTTATGGTCTTTGAGCATAGAAAGAATCCCAATGGATATACTGGATTTTCTGAAACAACTGGTTAGAAGATTTAGTCTAAAATTTGATATACATAACAAGGTAGTTGTTACACAAATATTAAGCTAATAATTTACTTAATACGATGTTCCTGATTGACATGTTATCATCATGACATCATCATTTTCAATAGAACTCGATCAGCACCAAAATGGATAGTCAAATGCATCATTTATAGATTGATACTCAATGGTCA